CACTCACTCACTCGACACGACGGACTCGGACTGAGGATCGGACGCAGACACAGTGGCAAGGCACAAAGTCGAAGTCTTGGATTCCCAAATGCCGAAAACAGCAAGTCACACTGAGTACGAGTACAGCAGCAGAGAACTGGTACGAGAGCCCCCCCGTACCGTACGGGGAGCCGGTATAAGTACYGGTGACACGTAYGGTACCAGGGGCATTTCTGCAAAGGCCCCGAGGGCAGAACTGAAAAATGCAGTATTTGAAAGTGGCGCCCGAATTGCAGCATGGCGCCAGTTGTCCAAAATCCTACGGTACCAAAAGGAGGGGTTTGGAAAAGGGGTGCCAGGCCGAAAACGGGATGCAGCCGAAACAACAAAAGATAGACCAGGGATCGAGCCCTGGCGAAGTCCGTAACAGTAAGGCTTCAGTTATTCAGTCTTTCGAATCTTGACCCTCGGATTAGTATCTGGAATCAGTGTCCTGCAATGTTCTTGCAGTATCTGGGACAACTTTGAATTTTTCAGAGTTCTGGGTCCTAACCAGTAACTGATACAGGCCTAAACCGACAGGGACTTTTCTGCAAAATCCCTTAACTACTGCTCGATAGGTAGTACTTGGCCTAGAACTTCATTTAAGGCCTAAAACGACTGTTGCTCTACTACTGCCTCAGACCAGTACCAATGTTACTGGAAAACACAGATCCATAACTGTTAGTTTGGTTTAGGTCCTAGGCAGTCTAGTCCAGTTGGTTAGAGTAGAACTATAAATAGAACGAGTCCGAAGGGTTAGAGGTCTTTGGTGAGCTCTTGCAGTATCTAGGACAACTTTGTAATTTTTCAGAGTTCTACTAACCAGTAACTGATACAGGCCTAAGCCGACGGGGACTTTTCTGCAAAATCCCTTAACTACTGCTTGATAGGTACTACTTGGCCTAGAACGTCATTTGAGGCCCAAACCGACTGTTGCTCTACTACTGCCTCAGACCAGTACCAATGTTACTGGAAGACAGATCCATAATTGTTAGTTTGGCTTAGGTCCTAGGCAGTCTAGTCCAGTTGGTTAGAGTCGAACTATAAATAGAACGAGTCGGAAGGGTTAGAGGTCTTTGGTGAGCAGTTGTCTGGTGCTGAAGTTGACACGGCCAGGCTGCTGGAGCTGTGGTTTAGCTGGGAAGCCGATGCTACCAGGTAGAGCAGCAGGGAGGTTCTGAGCCTGCCGGCACCATATCTGTGCTGTGGAGGTTAGGCGCCACCATATTTTCTTCTTCGTGGCGGCTGCTTCCTTCTTCTTCAAGCCAGTGGTTTCTTCCTCATCCTGGTGCTGGTGCTGTTTGGTCTGGGAGGTCGCTGACTCGGTGCTGGAGCATCTGAGAGTTTCTGGTCAGCGTTGGTGCTGCTGAGAAAGCAGTGGGGAGGTGCTGGTGGTCTGGAGGGTATTAGGGAGGGGCACTATGAGATGGGGCTGCACGCCATAGCTGGTTATGGAGGTTGACCTGGAGAAAGGAGGAAGACTCCAGAGGCCTGATGAAGTCATGTTCTGAGTGTGTTCAAGGTGGTTAACTCTCGGTTGTGATCCTTGGGTTTTCTTGCGATTCTGGTGCTGGAGAGTGTCGAGGGACTTGATTTGGGACAACTCAATTCGTCTTGATTGTTGGACATCCGCTGTGCCTCGCTCAATCTGGTTTGATGTGAATCCCTCTCCAAATTTGCTTTGTCATAGTGGCATGTGTATGAGGACATGCTGATGCTCTGCTAGATTGCATTCTCAATCAGTCACATAGCACAGTAAATGACAAGGAAATGTGACTACTAGATGAGGAGCAGCCCAGATTGCGGAGGAAGCTCACACACAAGAGACCATTATTCACGTGAGAAGACAGGTCCCATTCCGAAGAATCAGCAACATACGATATATCCACCTCTGTCATTCACTTTGAAGTTTTAGGGGTCTGCTTTCATATGTGCCTGATTGAAAACGAAATCCAGCATGCCATCCACACGTTCCCATACACATAGGGAGGCAGGTGGACTTGGAGAGAGACATTCACACCAAACCAGGTGGTGATATTACACAGCGGAAGCACTCAAAACCATTAATAGAATTGAATAATTGAATTTAATTCAACTCTTATTATCCCGTCTCTCTCTACAGTTCAATCAACAACACAAATTCCGAGAATCCCAACCACGTTATCAACACCCACGGACCAATTATATACAAAGTTTCATCGAAATATCCAGGAGTCTTCTTCTTCCTCCCTCTTCCTCAAGCTCTAGCTATGGTGCCACTTCCAGACAAGCCTGCAAAGGCCACACACCCTCCTGAATCCAACACGTCACTCTGCACCACTCACGAAGCCCATCTGCAGATTATTTGTCCACTCAACAGGGGAGCGCAGATCCCAGGATGAAAAAGAAGAACACCAACTTGATGAAGATGAAGGCCTGCCACTACGAAGAAGACGTGCAAAAGCTGCTTCGATGGCAGCTTCCTTAACTCCAACAGACACCAGTAGGAGGAAGCACTCATCAGCACCTATGGCCCACAGCCCGACACTGTTGACACTGGAGCTGGCCGGTCCCAGCTATGGCCGCCAGCAACATGAAGAAGATGAGTCACTACACTGCTGAAGATAGTGCAGCTCTCAAGACGCAACCTCACCAGACCCATGTCAAAAGAGAAAAAAATGGAAACGAACCAAAAGAACCCCAAATTCGTCGGCCTATGCCTACTTATACCTGACTTCCCTAGACCTCCAACACAGCAGCCACCTACAGACCTATCTGACCGTCCAAACAGCAAACATCTATGGCCGAACAGTCAAGATCTACCTACATGCATCTAGGTGGAAACCTAGACTAAGGGAACCCAAGGCTAGGACACAAAAGAAAAGACCCACGGGCCTACCATTTTCCGAAAGGACAGAAAAGGACAAAGCAACAAAGCTGAAAGGCCTAAGACTACGAAGTAGAGACTACTAGCGAGAGGTTCAAGGTTCAAGCCCAATAAACCTAAAAATAGTCAAACACCACAAACACACTACAGGTCACGGGATCAAGTCCCGTAACGCCCAAAACAAGGAAACAGCAAACACAGTTAGCGTACAGTCCCACTGGGATACTGTGATTTATTGCAGGAATGTCAATCTGAATCTAGTACCTTCTTCCTTCCAAGTTATTTTGCCAAAAGCTATAGGACATAATTGACAGTGTGTCTTGATGCTGCCCCAGTGTATACAAATGCAGTTCTCGGAGGGGTAAAAAACGCTTATTACTTTGTAAGTGTGTAGCCTCTGTGTCTGTGGCAGGGTGTGACGGCCTGTCTGCCCCTTTTTTGACTTTTCTGTATGGACCTTGAGCTTTGGGGCACTTATGGAATGAAAAGCTTTTAGCCTTTTGCCTTTCCATAAATGGGAAAAAAAAAGATTGTATTCCTTTGAAGCACTTGGTAAGTTAGTGCTGCTGCTTGTCGACCATGTGCACCCTGATAGACGGTGCTGGGTGTGTTCTATCTGTCTGCAGGGAACTCCCACATATTCAAACTGACAAAATAAAGTTCTATTTCGAAGTGCTGGACAAGGATGCTGATCACTCGGTAAGAAGGCCTTCGGAATTCCATTTTCCTTTCCGTCCTTTTGCGTGCTTCTTGTTTTTATGTTACAGCAAGTTGAAATTGAAGAATCTAAGAAAGAAGTCCAAAACACTTTGAAAAAGTTGGGAAATGGAACAGAGCAGACAACTCCAAGGTTAGTAGCTTGTTCGGCAGAGATCATTCAAAAGGAAGAAAATGAAAAGAGCAACCTGTCATTCTTTTTCTATTTCTATGACGATACATTGTATGAATAATATATAATATTATAGTAAGCAAGGGTAGACGGCATTTGGGTCGGGTCGAACTGCTGAATCCGAACGGCCGAACGTTCGGCCCCCCTTGGAGACGTGTTCGGTCGGAACCCACATGCCAAAAAAAACAAAAAACAAAAAAAAAACTAAACGTTTGGGCCCTCCAATTCTCTTTCCTAGTGGAGCCTCGCGCTTAGACAGCAGCCAGGCTGTCTGGAAGTCCGGGCCGCCCGGTCAGCCAGGCTGTCTAGATGCCTAGATTTTTGTAGTTATGTTAAATCGAAGGGTAGCTGAGACTCTGAAATCCGTACAAGTTTAACTTTAAAGTTGAAATCAGTGCGTCCTATGCCTGTTTTTGATGTTGTTGAACTCATTTTTTATTATTATGGATGGAAACCATCTTAGGGCATACACACTCTAGGACTTTCTCAAGTCAGCTCTAGACTTTATTGTGGTCAGAGTCATCCAGGTGGGGCCGTAATTGCAGTCAAGGAAATGTAGGAAAGTGCTAGTGTCGAGTATGCCCTTCATTGAAGTTAACTGGTTACAAATTAGAATAATGCAAATAATATAGGGACTTTTTGGCAGATCCGAGTAATGGGTATGCTTCATATAAATTATCAGGTCTACATCTCTGGACTCTTTAACTTTTCCTTAAGACTCGTGGCCCGTTCCATGCATTGGTCTTCTGTCCCTTTGTCACCGAGGAGACGATTGATTACTAGCTCGTGAGTAGGGGCTGGACCCTGACATGTCTGTCATATTTGCGTTTTTTTCTTTTTCAAATGCAGATTGACCAAGAAGAATTTCACGACTTCCTTACTGCAATTGTGATGAAATTTTCGAAGAAATATGAGGTAAGGTGTTCCCTTCCTTGTGTGAAGAAAAAGGAAACCTGCTAACCTCAGAACCTTTTCTTCTACAGCAAACACCACGGACCTCCAAAGAAGACTTAATTGAAATTAACAGGAAAATGGCAGAAAATCCACAAAAAGTTACCAGTAATGCACCGAAGATTGCCAGAAAAACCTCATTATTGACGTGTAACCCCCATCTCCAAGTGGTGCTGTGTCTGCACTCAAGAACCAGAGGGCCGCTGAGCATTTCATTCGGCAGTGTGTTATGTCATCTTCTATATTGAGTTTGCACATTCGAATATTGGAGAGTTTGTTGGGGTCTGAGTGTTGTCTACACCCCTGCAGCCATTTGTTGATGGGGAGTGCCACGTAGTCTATGAGCCACAAGAGATTGCATATTCTAGTTGTTGTGATTCTTTCACAATTTTTCCATGGGATCACACCCCGTTTTTTTGGGCTTAAGATATCCCCTCCCCATCCATTTCTTCTGGATTTCCAGAGCAGGGTCTACAGTTGTATATGAACAAGCTCCCCTGGCATTGAATTGGGACCAATAGGAGGACGACTACAGATAGCAAACAATAAAAGTGGCGATCAAGGACACAGCAACAGTGCCTGGCTATAAACAAGGGCTAAGCAAAGAGGAAGAGACACGGAGAATATTTGAAAATGGTCTGGGTTTTCCTTGCTCCACTGTTCATCCGACAGGCCACAACAGTGGACTACGAGGGATCAATGGAACTGATGGTCAGGAAGGTGGGGTTGTTTAGAAGAATAGTAGGGCTGAGAGGGAGCATATGGGCTAGAAAAGGACAGGATAAACAGGGGTAGAGGGGTGGTATATCCTTCCGAGAAGGATGTACCACCCCTCACCCCTGCCTAACCCACTCCACGAGTTAGGTGAAGGTGCTGGGCCATTCTGGAAGGTCCCAGGACGCAGGCAACTGGGACTGGGCTCAGCCTCGCCAGAGGCCGCTCGGCCTGTCCAGCCAGCACAAAAGGCTGGAGGGCTCAGCCAGTGATGCATTCGGGCAATCAGGCATGCGGAAGCAATGCACAAGCAGCTGCTTGACGCTGCGGCCAAGGAGGAAGCTGCACGGTCGCAGCATGGTGAGAGAAGACAGGGAGAGTGGCAGCCATAGCCAGGCTGCTTGCCCCATAGCCGGTGGTGAAAAACGGATGTCCTTTGTGGAACAGGGAGTGGGAGAAGGAAGAGAGGCAGTGTGACGAGGCACACACCTGGTGTTGACGAAGGCAGGCTGTTCGATCAGAGTCTTCAAGCGGCATTGGGTGTTGACGACGTCAGGCTGTTCGATCAGAGTCTTCAAGCGGCATTGGGATGACGACATATGAACCTGTGGCTCACATACATAGGCTAGATTGTTAGGAGCTGTAGGAGGTAGAATCGGCGGTACAGCTGCCTGTAGGAGGGCTACATTGTTGTTGTTTCGGTGATTGGAGGCGTTGGAAGGGCTTCCGTTATCAAGAGAAGATACTAGTCCTTTGCTTGGTCCTATTTGGTGTGGATCTCGCCTTGATTGCTGCTTTCAATTTTAGCTCAGTGATGTCTCGTTTTCTGTGAGATGTTGTAACTTGGTTTATTGCTGTTCGCATTGCGTGTGTCCTTGCCGTTTGTTTTTCGTTTGTGTTTTAATACAGCCTAGCTGGCTGGAGATACAGATGGAGTGCACAAACTATTATGGGCAGTTTTTGGATGTCAAGAGCTTTGTGAACGGACCGTACTTTGAGTGGATGATGATTGCCGTGCACATTTTTAACTTAGCAATCATCATCCTCGAAACTGAGGTGAGGATGGATGGTGCCCTTCTTACCCATGCTCCACACTTCCCTTTCCTGCCTACTCCCTCCTCACAGCCTCTCTCTTGCTCTTTTGCTCCCTTGCCCCCTTCCTCCCTCCACAAAGTCTGCACCCCCGACTCTTTTCTCTCACACTTCCTCCCTCGCTTTCCCTGACTCTCCCCACTTCTCCCTCCTCCCCTCTTTCCTCCCTCCATGCCTCCTACCTTGGTTCTTGGCCCTTCCTTTCTTGCTCCTTTGTTTCCTCCCTCCCCACCACCTAACATCTCTCCCTTGATTCCTCCTAAACTCCCATGCTCTCTTGCTCTCTTCCTCCCCCCCTCCCTTCCTCCCTACCCTTCTCCACTCTCCCTCCTCCCACTCTCCCTCCCTACCTGTCTCTCACAGTATCCTCTGCACGGGGCCATGGACAGCCCAGACATGCTCACAAAAGCAAATGCAGCACCGCACACCATAGCTGAAATCTGGGTTTATGGAGCATAGAGGCCAAGGTGGCCTCAGTTGAATAATCGAAAAAAATCACGAATCAGAACCTGGGGCCGGCCGCCCATGGATATATTTCGAGCCCATCACGCTTTGAAAAAAAAAAAAGGAGTGTATGACACTATATCATAGAGGCAGAAAGGAATGCTGGGGCAGGTCACAGGCAGGGCAGACATGTTCATGAAGTGCTCATACAGCCAAAAGACTATGCCTAAGAGATGAACTTGCCCTGCCTGTACCAGGCAGGACAGGCCTGCCAGAAGTGAGCTTGCATCTCTTTGTTTTCCAATGACAACAAGCCCTTCTGGCCTGGCTCCAGATTCATTCTTTGGAGCATCAATCCAGTTCCTTTTCCTCTGGCAAGTTGTGGGATTATATACAAAGCAGGACACCCACGCTTCCTTCTGTAACACAGGAGGGCCCCTGGACAGCATAGATTGCTCCATGTCCTGCAGGATTGATCGCCAGCTCGCATTTCGCTCTTTGGTTTCTCTCAGTCTCACATCTTGCCAGAACTGTCAGCAATTGTTGAAAACCAAGAACCTCAGAAGGTTCAGACAGGACCAGGTTCTTACAGCTGCTGGCCCTGCCTGTACCATGGTCGCCGTCCTTTCTGAAATTGCATTCTGTCGAATTTCCATGGCCGTTGATCAAAGTTAGTTGGAACAAAATACTGGGCCAGGAAGCAGAACAAACATCGAAAATTCCTTGGCAGAAATCTAAATCAATACGCCCGGTCAAAATAAGAAGCCTACAGTGGCTGGCTTACTACCTACAATGCACTACTTGTGAACGGTTGGTTACATATCATCAGGAGAACAAACGACCCTAACAGCTCAGATCTCTGTTTAGTGTGCTCAGACAATGAACAGGAAAACGTCATACTCTGCCTGATCACATGCAACGTCGCTACTGACTACTGGGCAAGAGCATCTGCTCTCTGGAACTACCTGTTTTCCTCCTCCCTCCCCCCCTAACACCCAATCCAACTGCTCCTCTGGACCAACGTTCCTTCTAACTTTAACAAGTCCGAGCGCATCTGGCTTGGAATGATTCGAAAGCTGACACTCTGGGTCATATGGAAGGAAAGGTGCAGCAGCAGAACATGGGACAACTCCAGCAGTGCGTGTGAAAAGGTGTGGGCAACGACCAAACCCCTAAGGGAGACTGACCTCTTCTTCCAATGGAAGAAATCCAGGATTCAAGTTCAGGAGAATCAGGAGAAGCAGCAAGAGTCATCATCATTAGCATCATTAGCATTATCATGATCATCTTATTTTCTTTCCTTCATACATATGTATCAATTAATTCCATGATGTATCTCAGGGACGCTGGACCCGGTTTCCAGCAGGTGTTGCTCCCCACCAATAGATGGAGCTGAGCAGCAGCAAGAGATTCTGGCAAAGTTCACGAAACTATGGCTGGTCAAGGGAAAGGTCGCGAGCATTCATGGACTTCACCTCAGATGGAAAGACGGGCACAACTCCTGCCCGCTGCAGAGAGAACAGGGCAATCACCTCCCACAGCCTCAAGACTACAGAGATACATAGTTCGGACATATGACCATGAGCACACTTAAAAATGACCTGGTCAGGGTACTTAAGACTTACAGCTGTCCTTCTCTCGGTGCTTCTTGCGTTTAAGGCTATCTGACAGAGTCTCTGATGAAGACTCGAAGAGGAATCACAGGGAAAGGCAAGCTGACAGTCAATCTCCACTACGTAACTGGAGTAATCAATGGTGATCAGGGATCCTTCGGCCAGACGGAAGGATGCGTGAGTGGGTACATACATGATGTAATACTGCTACTTTGACTTGCCGGGGGAATAGGAACCGGACTGACACTCCCCAGAATGGATATGGACTCATTATGGAGCCAGGACCATAAGGTCCTGTTTTTTTTTTTTTTAATATAACCACCTAATCATTATGCATGAAGCCAACTGAAGTCTATTAAACACTGTGAGCGCTCTCACCCCTTGCTCTTTTTTCTCAAAAATTGGGTCTTGGAAAACTCGTCTTTTCCGTTTCTGTGAATGCATAAATGATTTCACTCTGATCTGGCAATTAGATTCTGATTCTGGTGTGCATGCCTTGCCACTGTTTGCTTATTGTATTTGCCTGGAAACTTGGGTGCACAGCTGGACATCCGGGGCAGCGACTACCAGGTCTATGTGCAGTTTGTACAGATCGCTTTGGGTGAGTTCTGCCGGCCCCTACAAGGTCTACCAACTGTAACGAGCGTGAGGCTGAGGTGAGCCGAGGGAGAGGAGAGAGAGGGAGAGAGTGAGAGCACACACACACACTCACTCACTCGACACGACGGACTCGGACTGAGGATCGGACGCAGACACAGTGGCAAGGCACAAAGTCGAAGTCTT